AATCTTAACTATTATATGGCTATGTGTAGATTTTTTTTTTTTTTAATCACAGCTAGTTAAGAGTCCTATATGCCTCACTTCTCTGTATGTCAAATTCTTTTCTACTACTTGGGAGTTTTCTGCCATTATTTCTGTGAACAGTTTTGTTTTGTTTTAACATCATCTGCACTCTCTCCTGTTTCTTCATTGACTCCAACCAGTCTTATGTTATACTTCTTTGCATCATCTAGCAGCTGCTGGATTGATTTCTCCTGGTCCCTTACTATTTTTAATACAATTTTCTTTTCCTGGTCACTAATTGCAATCCTATCTTCTATATTTGAAATTCTGTCCTCACACCAGCTCATTCTGGTGCATAAACTTTCAATGGAGTTTTGAATCTCCCGGAAATCTGTTTGCATCTGTTTATGGATTCCATTTGTTTTCTATATTGGGATTCTGTCATGTTCCTCAGCTCCTATATTTTTTAAAAAATCTGTGTCCATTCTAGATTTATTAATCATGTCTTGCATTATGGGCATAATCTCTGTTGTTATCTGAGAAATTATTTCTGACTTCATTTTTTCCAGATCCTCTTTCATTGCTAGTTCAGAGTTCAGGTGGTTGAATATCAGATTTTTCCATCCCGTTTCACTTTGGGGTTGCCTCAGGTGATTTGGAAGTCTGGTTTTGGGACTTGTTTACGAGTCTTCTCATTTCAACATATTCAGCCTGCTGTGCCTTTGTTAAGGCAACTTTTTGCTCACCCAGTGGTCTTCAATTCTCAGCAAGCCAACGAGGGGCCTTTTCTTTGCTGCTCACCAATATACCAATTCCTAGGTTCAGAATGGTGGCCTTCTAGGTCCCTGAGCTCACCTGTTGTCTGGATGGGCTTCTGGCTGGGGTCTGTCTCCTCTGGGATAGTATCTAGGTGTGCCTCTTGCTGGGGCCTCTATGTATTTGTTGTCTGGAAGGACCTTTGGCTGAGGCTGTGCACCCCAGTTCCTGTTGTCTAAGCAGGCTTCTGGCTAGGGTCCACACACTTAGCAATGGTACCAAAGCAGGCCTCTGGCTGTTGCTTGTGCACCTGTGAAGCTCTTTTCCAGGTGTGCCCTTGGCTGTGATGCTATGGGGCAGTCCTCTGGCTAAAGTCTGTTCACCTGTGCAGCTTTTTTCTGGGCAGACTTCAGCTTGGGCAGGTGTGCCTGAGCCTCTCAGGTCAGGGCAAATCCTTGGCTGAGATCTGCCGGCAGTCACACTGCTCTGGACAGCATCTCTGCTCCCCAGGATCTGCACACACTCATCTGTAGTTTTAGTACTTTGAGAAATCTCCACACTGCTTTCAATAGGGTTTGCACTGTAGAATTCCCACCAGCAGTGAAGAAGGGATACTTGTTCCCTCACATCCTTTGCAGCATTTGTTACTGGTTGATTTCTTGATAAGAGCCATTCTCTTTGGAGATGGAATCTCAGCATTGTTTAAATTTGCATCTCTCCAATGACCAGTGATGCTGGACATTTTTTCATATATTTATTTGCCATTTCTAATTCTTCATCTGAGAAGTGTCGATTTCAGGTGCCCATTTTTGCATTGGGTCTTTAAATTTGAGGGTTTTTTTTTTAGTTCTTTATATATTTTAGATAATAGTCCTTTATCTGAATAGCTGGTAAAAAAATTTCCCACCTTGTGGGTCATGTCTTCACTCTGTTGGTGGTTTCTCTTGCTGTGTAAAAGCTTTTTAATAAGATGAGGTCCCAGTTGATTCTCTGTAGTATTTCCAGTGCAATCTGGTTTTGTTCACAAAGTCTTTGCCTACTCCTACATTCTCAAGTGTTCTACCTATTCTCTCTTGCTGTAGATTTAGTATTTGTTTTAATACTTAGATCTTTGATCCATTTTGATATTAGGTTACTGCATGGTAAAAGATATAGGTCTAGTTTCAATCTTTGTCATGTGGAAAGCCAGTTTTTCCAGCACCATTTATTAAAGAGGCTATCTTTCTTCCAGTGAAGGTGTTTGGCTCCTTTGTCAAAAAAAAAAGTGGTTGAGTATATCTGGAGTGGTTTCTGCTTCCTCCAGTCTTTTTCACTGATTCTCAGATCTGTTCTTTTGCCAGTACCATGCTGTTTTTTTTTTTTTTTAATCACCACAGCTTTGTAGTATAATTTAAAATCAGGGAATGTGATACCTTCTGCTTTAGCTTTGTTGCCCAGAATTGACATTTTGCTATTCTAGGTCTCTTCTGGTTCCAAATGAATTTAGGACTATAATTTCTAATTCTGTAAGCTATGCTGTTAGGATTTTGATTGAGATTATATTGAATCTGTATACCAATTTTGGAAGGATAGCCATTTTCACTATATTGGTTCTTCCTATCCAAGAAGAAGGGATATCTATTTTCTGATATCCTCTTCTACCTCATTTTTCAGAGTACTATACTTTTCAATGTAAAGGTCTTTTACTTCCTTTGATTCCTAGGTATTTCATTTTTTGGGGTGCTACTGTAAAAGGAATTCTCTAATTTCTCTCTCCATGAGTCTGTTATTTGCATACAGGGAAGCTATTAACTTTTGAGTACTGACTTTATATCCAGTTATGCCACTGAATTTGGTTATCAAATCTCAAAGTCTTTTGGTGGAGTTTTTGGGGTCTTCTATGTAAAGCATTATGTCATTCACAAATAATGATAGTTTAACTTCTTCCTTTACGATTTTTTTTCTGTTTAATGTTTATTCCTTTCTTGTTCTGGCTAATGTTTTCAGAACTATATTGAACAAGAGTGGTAACAGTGGACATCCTTATCTTGTTCCTAATTTTAGAATGCTTTCAGGTTTTGTCCATTTAATATGATGTTGGCTCTTGGTTTGTCATTGATGGCTTTTATTAGAACTACTATAAAGATCTATAGATAGTAAAGATCTAATCCAATTTTCTGTGTGGTTTTATGATGAGCAGGTGTTGGACTTTGCCAAATGCTTTTCCTGGGTCTATTGCAATGATCCATGGTTTTTGTCTCTCACTCTGTTCATATGGTGTAGCACATTCAACTGATTTGGTATGCTGAACCACCCCTGCATCCCTTGGATGAATCACGGTGCATAATCTTGATGATCTGCTGCAATCTGTCTGCCAGTATTTTATGAAGGAGTTTTACATCTTTGTTAACTAAAACGACTGGACTATAGTTCTCTTTTTTGGTTGGAGCCTTCTCCATTTGTGGTATCAGGGTAATGCTTGCTTCCAGGAATGACTTTTGGTATATTGTTCCCCATTCAGTTTCATTAATGGGTTGGAGAAGTAGTGGAATTAGGTCTTTTCTAAACTTCTTATACAATTCAGCAGTGAATCTGTCAGGGCCTGGACTTTTCTTCATTGGTAAATTTTTAATTACATCTTCAATTTCATTGATTGATATTGGTTTATTTAGAATTTTTACATCTTCTTGATTCAGCTTTGGTAATTCATGTGTTTGTGTGTGTGTGTGTGTGTGTAATTCATATGGCCTATATATATAAGGATATATATATATAGGATAATATATGTAGGAATTGGTCCATTTCTTCTGTTTTCCATCTTATCTGAGTATAGGTTCTCGAAGTAGGTATTGATGATCTGGATTTCTGCAGGATCTGTTGTGATTTCATCCTTTTCATTCCTAATTACATAGGTCTGCATGTTTTCCTTTCTTTTTTTGATAAGGTTGGCTAAGGATTTTAGAATACTGTTAATTTTTAAATGAATTAATGTAAAAGATTAAGTAATTTCCAAGATATATTAATATTCATAGCTACTGACTGCACTTTAAATTGGTATAATTTATTCAGAAAGTAACAACCACAACTATCAGGGTCAAAATGTTGAGAAAGATAAGGAAGAAATTCGTCAGAGGCAAATGAAGGAGCTCTGCAACACTTTAGGTACAAATGCAGAGCAATGAAGAAAACATGGAGATCTACCATAATTGGTAAGGGCTTGCCAGTTACACCACAAAACCACAACAGAACAAAAACACAACATTCAACACTGTAGTTAGGAACAGGGTTATTATGACTTACAGGTTGAACATCTTATCTAATTTCTCTGGACACAGCCTTTATAAGTGAAACATCCTTAATCTAAAAAAGCAAAATCTCAAATGCCTCAGAATGTACCATGATGCTCAAAAATTTAAGATTTTGGAGCATTTCAGGCTCTGAATTTAGTATGCCCAGTATGTGATAAATGTGAAATATGAACAAAAATGGGTCTGTATGTATTTGTGTGTGTATTAATGCATTAACTCAATATCATCCTTGTACAATAATATATCATCTTTTAAAAATATCTTTACAAAATGGCTCAATGCTAAATCTCTAATTTATTTCCCCCCCAGTACTGGGGATCAAACCACCTTGCACTTTTGAGACAGGTGTGGTACCACTGAGCTAAATCCCATGGCCCTAAATCTCTAATTTTTAAAGATTCCTCTAATCCATTCTATTTACTCAATTACATTTTCTTTCTTTACTTTACTTTTCTGGCCAAGCCTGGTGCTGCAGAAGCCCAGTAATTTCAGCTCCTGAGAAAGCGGAGACAGATGCTCCTAAGTTCAAGATCAGCCTGAGTAATTTAGTGAGAATTTGCCTGCAAGTTTAAAAAGGGCTGTGGGTGCAGCTTAGTGGTAGAACGGCCCTCGTTTCGATCCTCAGTACCACACGAAAGTAAATAAATAAATAAATAAATAAATAAATACATCACTTTTATTTTTCCATGTACCCACCTTTCTAATTATCTCACTGACTCACAAAAATGTCATTGTTTATCCTGCTTTCCTTTCCAACTCTACAGACCTCTATGAAGGCTACAGAGTGAAAAACAGTCACCCACTGGTCACAGCACTACCCTCCCACATATCCTGGTTTGCTAACACAGCAGTAAACAGAAATGAATGAAAACCAAGAAACTTCATCATGCCTGAATTATCTATCTGAGTGTACACAGAAAAGAGAAACTTAAAATAGTAAATTACCACATCTCTTACCTATTGCAGGAATCTGATTCTGATGAGAAAACAGTAAATTCTTGAATATTGGTACAACCAGAAGAACCATCTGCTCTCTTGGCCTCGAATTCGCTTGGGGAGCCCAGCTCTGACGTGTGAAAATGGTCCGCTACCGATGTGACATCTGAGAATTTCATTTTATCATCTTTTGGTCCTGAAAAGAAAAAAAATTAAAAAGACAGAAAAAGAAATATTGAAGACTTCCTTAAAATCTACAATCTCTGTATGCCCATTACATCTATAACATGATACCGTTATTTGTACTTAGTAAAATAGAAGCTTTTACATCTGTTTCTAAAACTCAGTGATAGAGAACAAGAATCAACACAAAGTGAGGCCTAATTACACAGTCCACATTCTGTCATTCCACAATTGATTAGTTTAAAAATAAAATTCCCTTTAAAATCAGAAATGATAACCCTTATAATTCTAATGACACTGTGAAGGAATCCACAGATAGCTAAAAATGCTTACATAGATCATAGATCAGAGAGCACTGACAAAGATAACAAAAAAGATTGTTTCTTTATAAGTAGAATTGGAGAAAGGGAAAGAAAGAAAGGGGGAGGGGAAGAAAAAATGTGAAAGAAAGAAGAAGGAAATTAGAGAAGACAAAAGGAATAAGGGGTTGGAAGGGCAGGAGGGGAAAAGGGCGATAAAAAAGATCAAAGTATGTTACATGCATGAATAAGTATGCCAAAAGGAACCCTGTGAAACTAATATGCACTAACCTAAAAAAATAAACAACATCCAGAGGAATGAAAGGACTAAAGACAACTAATAAGAGAAATACAATATTTGTCACTATTATGCAATAGTGAATCTATATGGACCCTAAACTTGTTAAAAGAATACATGTATTATGTTTTGTTTTGGTTTTTTGTTTTGTTTTGTTTTGTTTTTGGTACCGGGGATTGAACTCGGGTCCTTGCGCTCTCAAGGCAGGCCATCGAACCGCTGAGCTAAATCCCCGGACCAGAATACATGTATTAAGGAAAAGAAAAACTAATCAGACACAATGAATATTTCCATTTGATCCAATGCATGTCACATTTCTATACACTCTGAAATATTCTCAGTTGTTTCTTGTTTTTTGGTTTTTGTTTGTACCAGGGATTGAACTTGGGCCCTTGTGCTTGCGAGGCAGGTGGCAGAACCACTGAGCTAAAGCCCTGGCCCTATTCTCAGTTTCTTAAGTCTCTTATTGCACATAAAGGCGAGGATCCAATCTTTAAGCATGGAATTCTGTGAACTTTTAAGATCAATTTTTTAAGCATACATTTTAGTTATACATCATAACATTCATCATAGAGAATTTGGACCTGTACAGGATATATCCTGACTCTTCCTTTTTTCCCATTTCCCCCACCTCAAGCGCCTTTCCTCACTATATACAAAAAGCTTTGTTTTCATTTTTTTCTATTTTTACTTTTGTTCTTGTCCCTTCCTTCCCTTCTCCCTCCCACCTCTCTTGTTCCTCTTCTCATTTGAACATTTTCTTCCCATTTCACAGTATCTATTATAAATTTTGATCCTTATTTCCACTTTCAGTTTCTCATACCACAGAAATGATGTGGTATGTAAACATCTGTGTTTCATTCATTTCACTTAAGAGTGTGGTCTCAAGGTCCATCCATGTAGCTATAAATGTCTGAAGCTCATCCTTTTTATGGCAGAGTAGTACTCCACTGTGTTTTAAAAAAATCACATCTTTATCTTATCGTTGATTGATGGGCATTTGGGCTGTTTCCAAGGTTTAGCTATTTACAAACTGTGCCCCTAAAAGCATGAGTGTGTATATATCACTGTGCTAGAATGCTTTCAATTCTTTGAGGAAGATACCCAGCAGGGGAAGAGCTGGGTAGATAGAAACTCTAGCTTTAGTTTTTTTAGGATCTCCATGCTGATTTCCACATTGGTTGCACCAGTCTCCACTCCCACCAATAGTAGAGAAGGAACCCTTCCCCCTTTCCCCAGTGCCCTGACAGCATTTGTTATTGGTTGATTTCTATGTCATTCAAACTTGTTCTACAGAGTTTATGCCCCGTAGAAGTGTACTAAGGGGAAAGTGAGCATCTATTGCAATGTCATCTCACAAAGACACCTGCTATTGACATTTTGACACAGATTTCTCCAAGTTAACTTATTCCTCTAAATAGACACTATTATTGTTATTTTAAAAATAAAAATAAAATATTAATCTTTTACAAATTAAAAATATATAATCCATGTTGATTGTCTTTCTATACCAAGATATACAGTTTGCCTTTCTGTTTATGAGCTGTATGTGCTACCCCATGGCATAGATATATCGAAATGCCTCAGTGATTCCACTTCAGAGATAATGCATTGGTTTGGGGTTGTTTGCTATTTCAAATAGTTTTTGTTAAACAGTCTGGTACATAAATGTTTTATGTATGTGGAGAGTTTTTATAATATAAATTTCAATATTTTTACTTTTAATATGTTTGGCATTTTCCTCCCCAATTTACACCCCTGCAAGAGTGTGTGAGCATGCTAATTTCTCTCCTTCATGAATGGCATCAAATATATCATTCTTTGTTATTGTTTGCAGTTTGAGAGGTATGAGATATCTATTGTTTATATTTTAATGTCTTTAAATTTTGAGTAAGGTAAAATATTGTTCACCTTTCTTTTGTGTGTTCCGTTATACATAATCTTATCCTATTAAAAGACTTTTATTAATCTTAAAAAAAAAAAGATGGAAGGCACAGAGAAAGCTTCCAGTGCGTTCACTGTTGTGACACATAGGTATGGCCTGAGGACTGCAGAAACGAGTGCAAAAAGTTCACACTCACCCTCTCATCTTGTGTTGCAGGACTCTGTTGAGATTTTTGTTTGTGTTATCTTTTTAAAAATTATTATTCAGGGCCAGGGATTTAGCTCAGAGGTTCGGTGGCCTGCCTCGCAAGCACAAGGACCCGAGTTCGATCCCCAGTACCAGAAAAAAAAAAATTATTATTCAGGACTGTAGACTGTACTACCATTGAGCTATATCCCCAGCCCTTTTTATTTTTTATATATTTAAAAAATATTAAATATTATTATTCTCTTTTCTTAGGGATAACCATGGAAATAATTTGAGAAAGGCTCCCGCTGAGTCACTAAATTGCCCAGGGTGGGCTCGAGCTTGTGATCCTCCTGCTCTAGCTTCCCAGAAGCACTAGGGTTATTGGAGTGTGCTATCAAGCCTGGTTCATCTGTGCTGTATTTAAGACTGAGGAGCTGAGTAACCCTAGCTCTGAGAGAGACAATTTAGTGAGACTGTGCCTCAAAATTTAAAAGAGGAGGAGTGGTGTTGGGGACGTAGCTTGGGGTGAAGGCCAGGATTTAAATCCCGAGTACAACAAAGCAAAACAAAACAAACAGGTAACAGAAATTCAACTTAAAACAATGCTGGTTTTTGGTTATTATTTGCATGCAGGCTATTCTTCTCTTTCTTCTTTCCCTTTTATATTAGCTTCTTGAAGATAAACTGCTACTAGGGACATGGGGAAAAAGATAATCATCCAACAATCTGTGGGTACTGAAAGCCAGTTATCCTTCCCTTCTGCTGCTGGTCCGGGATGTGGGCCTTTCAGCAGAGCACCAATTGTGAGGCTCAGACAGCAGGCCTCCCCAAAGACACAAAACATGAAAAAGGACAGGCTTTCCCTTGAAAGAACACACATCCTGCTCACTTACAGGAGCACTTCAATGTTTATTCTACAAAACAAGTGGAATTGGTTGTACAACAGGACAAAAAAAAATCTTTTTAACCAGCCCATCTGCTTTCCTCACTCTCATACTCCCCACGTATGCACAGCAAACACACAGTAGCTTTCACCCTCGAAGCCCAGAGGAGCAATATTGACATACACGCATATACACAGTACTGTACATAACATCCAAGTGCATGCAGCATTCAAGAGAGATTCACTTAACCAGCAAGAAGTGTTCTCCTTAGGGGCCAGGGATTTAGCTCAGTGGCTCTGCACCTGCCTTACAAGCGCAAGGTCCTGACACCACCACCAAACAAACAAACAAATGGTGTTCTCCTGGTGTGAAACAGTGAGCCATAGTTTCTGAAGAGGCAGACTAGCTTCTCAGATTACCCTTTAAACAACTGCGTGAACAAATTTAAGTGGTTCAAAGACCATGAGAAACATGCTGAGGGAGGCAGCATCCAACGAAAGGTACCAGGAGACTTGAGAATGAAAATGAATGGACTAGTGCCTGAAACAATAACAGGCTTGGGAATACATCGGGCCAAGGAGGAAGAGCTGTCTACTGAAAGCTACAAAACTGCCATGAGAAGTTAAAGACAGTTAAATTGAAAGACATCCCACATTCATGATTTAAGAGTTGATACTGTTAAGGTGTCTACTCGAGCTGAGGATGTGGTACATGGCTCTGAATTCAGCACTTGTGAGGTTGATGCAGGAGGATTTCAAGTTTGAGGCCAGCATTGACTACATAATGAGACCCTGTCTCCCCTCCAAAAAAGGCCTGTGGATAGCAACCTACAGATTTGACATAATCCAATATCAAAATCTTAATGTTTTTGCAGAAAAAGAAAAGTCTATCCTAAAATTCATACAGAATCTCAAGAGGCCCCAAGCAGCCAAAAATATTGAAAAGGAAGAATAAAGCTGAAGAATTCAAACTTTTCAACTTTGAAATTTAGTACCAAGCTACAGTATTTACAACAGTGTGTACAGACAAGAGGACAGACAGACTGATTACAGACTGATGGAACACGGAATAAACAAACCTTCACTAGGTTGGATGGTTTTTGGCAGGACCACCAAGAGGATTCAATAAACTCTTTGATAAATGGTGCTGAGAAAAACTAGGTATCTATCTGCAAAAGAATCAAGTTAGCTATACTGTGAGAAACTGTGCTAAAGATAATGATATACAATGTATTAACTATTATTATTTTCTTAGAAATTTTGTATTATTTTTTCATAAAATAAAAAGAATCAAGTTGAACTCTTACGTTATAACACATATAACAATTAACTCAAAGTGGATCAAGGACCTAAATGTAAGGGTTAGAACTATAAAATTCTTGGAAGAGAACTTAGCAGAAAAAAATGTATTATATTAAATTTGGCAATGGCTTTGAGGATATAAGACCTAAAGCACAGGTGTTCATCATAATTGAGCACTTCTGTGAAAGCACATTTAACATGGAAATGATACTATCAAGAAAGCAAAAAGACCAGAGAGGTGATGTTATGAGTGCTCATGAATAGCACATAAGATAAGGGATTAATGTTTAGAACTCCTACATTTAACAATGATCACAAAATATCTAATTTTAAAAAGTCAAAGGACCTGAATATACTCCAACGAAGGAAAACAGCCAACAAGCACACAAATCAAAATCATAACACACGACTTCACATCTACTAAGATGACCTCAATAGTAGCAACAAGTTTAAAATAAGAAAATAACAAGTTCTGACAAGGATATGGGAAAGACGGAACATTCATACATTGTCGGTAGGAATGCAAAACAACAACCTGAGGAAAGCAGTTGAGTGGTTTGTGAGAGGGCTCAGCATGGAACCACCATATAAACTAGAAATTCCACTTCAAAAGAACTACCAGCAGGGACTCGAACTGATACTGTGCTTACAACAACATACTTTGCAATAACCAAAAGGCTGAGATAATCCTAACAGATACGTGAATAAACAGAATGCATACGTACATACTACGGAGTATTATTGAACCATAACAAGGAATGAGAGGGCTGGGGATGTAGCTCAGTGATACAGAGCTTGCTTAGCATGTAAGAGGCCCTGGTATTTAGCACAGCAAAAACAAAACGAAACCAAACCATGAAATTTTATTATGTGCTACAACACTGATGGGCACTAAAAACATTATACTTAGAGAAATAAACCAACACAAAAGAGTAAACACGGCATAATTCCACTCATATGAGGCACCTAAAACAGGCAAATTCACGGATACAAAAAAAGAAATGAATAGCAGGGCTGTGAGGAACAAAAAGAAGATGGTATAGTGAGCACAGAGTCTGTGCTGGGGATGGCAAAAAGCTTTTAAGTAAATGGAGTGGGGATGGTTATATGGTACTAGAAGGCATTTAATGTGAAAGAATACACATGTGAATGGTGAGAAAGACACAATATTGTGTTGTGTATATTTTACCACAATAAAGAAAAAATAATAAAGATATTTCTGGTGCTCCTTTCCCCATTTTCAATCTGTGTTGTTCATCAGCCTAAAGCCTTAACGACAGAAATAGAGTATCAATCTCAAATTTAAAAATAGGTCCTAATTAAGTCATGTGCTGCATGCACAGCATTCCAAGTTCATTAGCTTTGGACCCTTTAGCAGAATGTTTCATCCAAAGTAAAGTAAACATTCAAAGTCAACATTTTACCACAGTTCTCTAATAATAATAACTCATAATATTTGTAGTATATCTTAAAATATCCAACAATAAATCTTATGCCTAGAAAACATCTTCAAGCTTAAACAAATACGGAACTGGAGATTTTTCATTAACTGAAGGAAAGACAGACTTCAGACACTGTTTCTTCAGGACATACTTTCGATCTCTTTCCCCGCAGTGATGAACTTACATAATCACTGCACGAAGTAGATCTAAAAATACGTTTTCCCACTTAAAAGACCCAATCACTCCGAAGTAAATACCTTTGTTTTATTTTCTTTTTATATTACAAATAAGTAAAATTAACCATATTTCTGACTACTCATCTCTTACCCTTGCATACAGATTCTGGCTTTCCTGTAGTTTCTCCTTCTCCCATTACTTTGTTTTTTGACATTCCGCCAGTTTTCTTGTATCCTCTTTTGGCTTGATCCACCAGAAGCTGAAACTCATTCTGATGCTTTTTACCTGAAATTCAAAAGACTTTCTCAGCGAAACAGGACTGTGAAAGTGATCTACTCAAACCAAGAGCCGGAGGACAAAGAGCTGTGCACGTGTGCTCAGACGCCGACCTCGGGGTCACAGCACTGACCAGAACAGCTTCCGAGCAGAACACAAAGGACTGTGGGCCGGGGAAGTCGTCTCCTGACCCATATACCGTCAAACACACACACAGAAACAGAATATTCCTATTTGCTACTGTAGGTGTCTTCCCAGATCTTATATTCAGGAAAGGCTTTTGATAGAGCAAGAAAGACAAATATATCCTAAAGATACCATTCTAACTTCCAAGAAACAAGAGGGTTCCAAGATCAGAGGATTATAGTAACTGATACAAAAGCAGGAGCCTCTAGGAAAGTGAGGTTCTAATGACTTCATTCCAGTTTTCCTTTTTTCCTCACATGCTGTACATGTTTCCTAACAGAAATATTTCAATATTCTAAGACCTCTGCCCACTAATTTCTCCTACCTAAGGATACGATAGCACCAATCTTTACTGCCACTTTAACATATCTAAAAGTAATGTAACCCTAACTTCGAGGTCACCATTATTAGTGTATGTTAATAATATACTGAATACAGTGTCCAGTCGCTATGAGAAAATGGACTTTGGGACATTTGTGATTCTGAACCACGGTCCAAACAATGGAGGCTGCAGCTTCCTGAACCTAGCACCTTAAATATGTAGGTCATGGCTACAAATATCAGCATAAATCTTGCAAAATTCTTAGAAGGAATCAATACTACAAGTGGCTAAAACAAAGTTCTAAGATGACTTTCACATGAGATTCCACACTCTTGAATCACTTGGTTTCTTCCTTGTAGCACAACATTAAGATATAAGAGTATCCTGTAGGGGAAGTTTGTAGTTCAAGTGAAAATGACCTAGGATCTAGAGCTAGCTAGCTCCTCTTCCAGGATTCCAGCATTTACTGACAGCAATAAAAATATAAATATAAAATACATTTAAATATATACATAATCTATAAATATAAAATTTCCTTCTGGTAGAGGTTCACCTGAATTCCTTACCTTACTATGGATGATGGAAATTTTGCCCCCATTCACATATTCATTACAGTATTCCTCATACCTAAATATAACTCTTCTTTGGATTCCCCTACAGTATCTTCGGTCCCCTAACAATGAGTTTCTTAAAATATTTTTGTAATAAAAGCAATTGTTCATTTTATATCCATAAAAGAAATGATTTTACTTGTCTTTGAAAATTATCATTTCAAAAGGGGAAAGAGTACTTAAAAGCTACAACAAAGAAGAGAGAAGTTTGCTTCCTGTGTCTAGACAATGATAAGTACAGCAAAGACATTCAGGACAGACAGCTCTAATTCCAATACAGTGGTATTTCGGTGTTCACAAACTTAATTGTTTCCACAATTCCGGTTGCAAACCAAACTGGATGAGAAATGAATCAAATTTCTCCATATAGTAAACACTGAACCTAAACATTGAGTTTGATTTGGTTCTCAGTCTGTAACTAGAATTGAGCTCATGAACCAAGATACCACTTATGTAAGTGTAGAGTGTGTACATGAAGACTACCAGTGAAACAAAAAATAATACGAGAGTATATTAAAAATGGAAAAAATGAATACTGTTTTATGAAACTTGTTTCAATAATATGTGTACAAACAATAATCATATAAACGTATTTCTTGCTGTAGTGTGCAACTCAAAATTCTTGAAGTCACTGAGTTCAGTATTTACCAATTAAAGCAACAAACTTTAAAAAACAAACAAGATCCTTCCCCCAGCCTCTAGATACAAGCTCATTTCTCTGTTTTCCCTGACACAATAAAACCTCCCCCAAAGAGGTGTTTACCTTAATGGTCTCACTTTTTCACCTCCAATTTGTTCTCAAGCACCTCTAAGTGCTTCTTACACCTCAGCTCCTCACAAGGAGACCATCCTAAAGGAAACATCATTCTCGTTTGTTGCCTCCTAGCTGTGAAATCTATTCATCCCTTGTATTGCCTTGTACATAACTTTCTACAGAAGTATGTGGAACAATTCATGATTTCTTCTTGATTAAAATGCCTTTTCTCCTAGATTTTCTGACTCCACATCTCCAAGCTTCACCCTATCCTACAGACACCCTGACAGTTTACTTAGCAGACTCCTCTTCCTTTGGCATCTTCCATGCTCTAAAACCACAGACTTCAAGGTTCACTGCCTAAGAATCCTTCAAAGGGTAGAAGACATGGAATTTACAGTCATAACATTACTAAAATGTTACCTGTCTTTTTTATTCTGGTGTCATACAGGTAAATAGTTAAATAGCAATGCTGGATAAAATGTCTGGTCCCTTAGCAGGCAACAAGGAAGTGACTACAACTACACCAATAGTTGTTACTCACAGCTATTAACTCACCATTTAGAACAACAAAAAAGTTCAATCTGCAGTAATAGAAAAAAAATAATTTTGACCCTTAAATATATGTCTTTCTAAAAGCTTTTGTGATGAAATGAGAACTTATAAATAAAGCATTTCTGAGGCATATCAAAATATGATGGGTACACATGTGATCCATGAGCTTTAACTGGCCACTTATTTAATGGGATATCATGCATAACAAATTATGGTTATTCAGGCCTGGATATTCTGCATTTTATGAAACTTAAATTAGAGGACTATGTCATTTTAAGAGAAAACAAGTGACAGTACTACCTGCCAAATATAAAATTAGAAATTTTAAATGAAAATCAGAGATTTTGGTAACTTGTATCTATCTACTCTTGTAAGCTTAAAAGCTCCTAAACAGTTAACGCTTTCCCAATGAGATTGGTGGTGATATTAAGAAACACTTTTTAAAAACAGTATATAAGATAAATGAAATGTGCAAAAATTTGGAACTCAATGAACTAAGTTATTTAAAATAAAATGATGTTACAGAATCACGTAAAGATAGATGATCTGTTGAGGTTATGATAAGACAAAACAAAGGATTTTAATGTAATAAAATATGCAAGATTTATCAATATGATTTCAAATTCCATTACAACTTTTCAAAATGACACTTGTCAAGTTTTAGTGTAGTATCAAAACATATCTACAATTTCCTGAAATATATATCTATGAAACTCCTTTTCCTAATTATCGGTGTGAGACTGGATATTCTTCATATACATTAGACAAAACACATGGTGAAGCTAAAATACAGAGTCCAATATGAGAATCAAACTGCATTAAAGACAGAACACTCAATAAATTTTTTAAATCAAACACAAAATTTACACACAATAAAATCCATTAGTTTTATGCAAACAATTTGACGAGTTATTTAAAATGAAGTCATACAACTAGCAACACAATCACAAAGTGAAAGAGTTAAATCACCCACTCCTTCCGTGGGCCAGTTCACAACCCCACACAGTCCTCCTTTCCACCCACACCCAATCCCTGGCAGCACCGAACCATTTTCATTCACAACACTTCTACCTTTTCTAGAGTTTTATGAAAATGGCACTGACACACAGTGGCATCTTTTTAGTTCAGCTTTTCTCTTAGCACAATGTTTCTGAGATTCACAAGTATTGTTTCACGAGACAGAAGTACATTTTCCTTTATTCCATTGCAGACAACCACTTGGTGTACACGGACACCCAACAATGCATTTACAGATGCGTGCTCCACACCCTGGCCAGCACTTACTACCACACTTCTTTGTTTTGTTTTTGTTTTCTCCATTCAAGTAAGTATGTTAAATATTATTTTATTGTCATTTTGTATTTTCTTAAAGAACAATGACTCATAAGACAATATCCTTTCATGAGATTATTAAGCATCTGAAAAACTGCTTTGGTAAAGACTCTATCTAAATCTTTTGCCTAATTTTTATACTTGATCTTAGTCCAAAAAGCAAGAAGCAATTGCCCAGTTTCTGAAATATGATGTATACCTTATTGTTGAGTTGTAAGAGTTCTTTATACAAATACCAGTACTTTGGGTAGCCTGGGCCCCAATCCACCGCAGGAAGGAGAGCCACGCCTGCTCCCAACCCAGTTGCCATCACTCCAGTGCCAGGAAGGTAGCCGCGCGGACTCCCCTGAACCCCCATAAACACCCCCCCAGCACTCTCAGACCTCCTGACTGTGCCAGTCTTTGGATCCACTCTGCAGAGACAGAGGTGGTCATCCAGGGTATTTTTCTGAGTTTCCAACTTTGAACATCTTTAAAGAAAGGGTGTGGGAAACCTGTAATAGAACGTTGTGGAGTTCAACCATTCAGAAGGTTGGGGAACTCAATCTGGGCCTTGCAGCCCGAGGTCAGTCAGCATCATGGGGTTCAGCCATCAGCTAACTGAGAGAAGGGGTCTTGCATCCTCACTCTGTCTGAGCCATTAAATGGTAAATACACTACATTGAAATTTAATACACTACAGAAATTTTGTTCACGGCAGACATGTTCTGGACTGCTTCTTGATTTCAATTTAATTCAAATGATTTAAGGGTGATAGACTAGTGACTACCACCGGTGGTCAGTGTCAAAGTTGTGCTTGACCTTAATGTGTTGCTGATTGTATCAGTTGGGATAAAGCATCGCGGTTGATTTGATGAGCTGTTTTCTCTGATGTTATGAAGATGAGAATGTCTGTGGGTCATTAGAGACACAGAAGCTAGGGTGCAACTATATCAGGAAGATTTGGGTAATAATCCAGAGATTAAACCAAGGACAGTCCGACAACAAAAATTAAAATGAGAAAAACACTTAAGCAAGACACAAGGACAGACATCCAGTTTACCAATGGCAAACAGTAAGGCAAATGAGGATGAAAAGGCCGATAGTGAACCATCAGGACACCCTGAACTCAAAGCACAGGAAGTAACAAAACAGACCAAATCAGGCTCTAGAAAAATTCAAAACAGAAATAATTTCCCAGATAACCACAGAGATGGTGAGCAAAATGAAAGCTGTGATTCGAGACTCTAGAACAGAAACTGACAAAAAA